GAGCCCCACATTGAAAAAGAACAGGCCTCCCCCCTTGACTGCTAGAAACTGTCACGGCGAGTGTTCGCGGCGCTGATGAGAGAGCCACATGTTGACGACTACTCGCCGGGTGCTGGAGTTTCTGACCGCACTGCATCAGGGGTGGGGGGTGGGGGGGCTGGCGCGGCGCTCGTCTTTGCGACCTCCAAGATACGGTCAAAACTATAGTTCCGCCCGTCTTTGCGCCACACATCCCCTGGACTGCTGGGATCGCTACACTTCGGGACCAGCGAGAGGCCTGGAACGCCCTACCAGCACGTCCGCTGGTGCGGAGGAGTCAGGAGGAAGAGGAGTACAAGAGGAGGCCAGAGGCTGGAAGAGGCACGAGGAATAGGAGGAAGAGAAGGTAGAGGAAGGGCAAGGAGGCGAGAGGGGGGAAGAAGGGGCAAGGGGAAAAGAGTAAGGAGCCAGGGAAGAGAAAGGAGGCAGAAGGGACGATATATGATTTAGAGACAAAACAAAAAATGAACGAGGCAAGATGCGAGAGGAAGAAGGAGGCGCAGGAAGTGAGACAAGAGGAAAGGGGGAAGAGGAAGGACTGGACTGGTCCTCCAGAGGAGGCGGTCGGAGGCCTCATGCGTGGCCGCCTTTTCGTGGGGGGCGCCTGGGGCCCGGGAGGGCCGTCGTGCGCGACCCCACGCCGACCAAGCTTGAGTCCGCCTCCGCATTCTGAAGGGGGAGGAGTGGGTGGAGCTGGGCTACAGGCCCCGCCCTCCCCAGCACCGTCCCGTCTTCGGAGGTGGGGGGTCGGAGAAAAGCCTGGCCGTGGAGGGGGAATTGGCCAATCGGAGGAGAGCCGGAGGGCCTCTCCGATTGGAGCTCTTGCATGACCTTCCGACCGAGGCCCTGCCAGTGCATGGCGCAGATGCGTGGCGCGGCGTCGGAAGGAAGGGGGGGAGAGCCACTCCCAGGGAGAGGAGGGGGGAGGGGCCAATCCACCTGAACCTCAGCGTGCCCAGCCTGGCTCTGCCCGACCCTCCGGCTCCGGAGGGAGGGAGAGGAGGTGGGACGTAGGCAAGGAGGACGGGCCGAGCGGAGGAAAGGCGAGCTTTTAGTCCGCCACTGGGCCCCAGAACCTCGACACAGCGAGGTCGATGTCTCTGGCGAGGGTGGCTGCCTCCGCGAATCCGGCCTCCCCTGGGCGGACCGAGAGGATCTCGCGGACCGCTGCTTCCCTGGACGGCGGAGGCGGGGAGCCGCGCGCTGCCCAGAATGCCGCCCTCGCCACGCCAGTGTTGCTGCAGCTCCCCAGGACATGCAGCATGGGGCTGAGAATCTGCCCCTGACAGCAGACACAGACCTGCCGTCGGGCCCTCGAGCGGACTCCTGCTGAGTGGCTCAGGACAAGGAGCTGGCACCGGAGCCGACTGAGGGAGCGCTGGCCGAAGAGGGCCGTGCTGGGCAGGCGCAGAGAGAGCGCTGTGGAAAGGTCATCCCGGGGCACTGGGCCGAGCGAAAGCGGGGCGGGCACTCGGACCCGCGTGTGCAGTCGCAGGCGTAGGGCTGCGCTGCATCTGGCCTTGAGGGTGTCTCGGATGTGTGCTTTGTACGCCGGGAGGGCGGACTCCCCCCTTGCAGCGCCGACCCAGGCGGGCCAGTCCGGCAGGCCCCACTCTTCCAACAGCGCCAGCGAGACACTCGCCCAGGTGCGCCCTGGAGATACATGGCCGTGTACAAACGTCGCCACAGACCTGCTCTGCGGGAGGCGATGTCCAGGATGGCCCGTGCTCCACCGGAGAGCGACCAACCTAGCTCTGAGACTGCTACAGCGCCGTCACGCCAGGGATGGCTCCCCAGGAGCGCCCTGGCCCACCCTTCGTAAGCAGAGTCCAAGCGCTCAAGGGCACCCTCGGCTGTGGCCAGGAGCCAGCGCCCGAAACGCAGGGAGGCGTCAATCTCCATGTCGAAGATGTACGCCGCAGCGGCCAGAGGGAGAGCACCTGCCGCCACGTGCCCCGCCAGGGACGCACACTGCGCAGAGGCCACAGCAAGCCGCGCCTCCAGTGCTCCAAGCAGGCGGAGATCACCAGGCCACTGAAGGCCAAGCCATTTGTGCTTGGGGGCTAGGTCGACCTGCACCGGCGGGAGGCCCCGCAGCGGCAGCAGGAGAGGGGGGGCACTGGCGGCAGCCGCTCGCGCAGCCTGGGAGCCATGCACCACAACAGCGTGCTTGGAGGCTTTGGTGTGCGGGGACGCTTTCCACCTGTACGCCCAATCGGCTAGGACCTGGAGGGACCGTCCGGCCCCCCCCCGGGAAGATGCCAGCAGGGCTGGGTCGTCCGCGTGGAGGAGGGCTCCGATCCGCCTGGGGGCGGCGGCGTCCAGGGCAGCGAGGGCGGAGGCTTCCAGAGCTGGGTCCTGCAGCAGCGCCTTCGGAGGAGGCAGCGGCGCCCTTGTTGCCAACGCGTGCAGCAATTGCATCACCTGACTCTGGTTCGGTTCTCCAGTGCCAGTCCAACTA